ATGTAGCAAGCTTTGGCTCAAGCAATGTAGCAAGCTTTGGCTCAAGCAATGTAGCAAGCTTTGGCTCAAGCAATGTAGCAAGCTTTGGCTCAAGCAATGTAGCAAGCTTTGGCTCAAGCAATGTAGCAAACTTTAGCTCAAGTTATGGAGCATGTTTTCAAAAGTATAAACAAAAGAAATGGTTTTAAGTATATTCAATTCTAAGTTTTTACTTAACTTTATTAAAATGTGGATTAACGTATATTGACATTATTTTACGTTAACGACTTACTCCTTTGTGTTTCTGTGTATGGTCAATGTTAATCCAGTTGCAAGTAGGTGGAAGATGTAAGGACATTTTGATTAGGAGCTTAGAGGCTTTTAATTTTTTTGAAGTCCTTATATTCATTCTTTTGTAATATGACTAATTGTATTTTGAACATGAATATTTGTAACTCTGGATATTCGTAGCTATGGGTATTTTGGAATCTCATAGCTAATTGTATGCGGTAGTTACCAGGATGCATGAATGAATTATGATTTTCTGCTATGCGAACATGTATGTTATTTTGAGATTATGAAATGGACATGAGTGGGGAAATGAGACTTAATTTGAGTTGTTGGTATTTTTCTTTAAAAGTTGTAGGAAAATGTATGAAGGATGAATAAAATAAGGAAAAAATTTCAAGGGTAGAATTTGGGTCCTTACACTAAGAGCTTGAGAAGAGGTAAAACTCTTGATTCGAACTCTCTTCTTCCCTTTGAAACTCATTTTGGGTATGTTGGATCTCTTCTAAAAATGTGGGAAACCATGGAAACTCACCCTTTTGAGTTATGGTTCGTTTTATGTTGTTTTTCTCTTGTAAACTCTTGGTTTATAGTTAGTATTTCAAGAATGGAAAGGGTTTGTGGGTTGATTCATGAAAACCCCAAAACCCTAAAGTGAAAATGTGGCTAAAGTGGAAAATTGGTAAAATGCTAGAGGTAGAAGATGAGTATGCATTCTAATGTTGAAATATGAGATGAATATGTATGTTTTAGATGGTTGTAAACTTATGATGAAAGTAGTTTAGAAACATTGAAAATATGATGAATATCTTGTATGGTTAAATAATGTCATGTAAGTTGTTTATGTGATATTTGGAATAAATGACTAACATTGTGTTATATGGTGAGAATGAGGAAAGATCCTAAGTTGGAGGCGGTGTCGGTGGAACTTGCGAAGTTGCCAAGAACCAAACCCAACACTCACCGAGGTAAGGATAAGTCATAACTTATGCATCGTGATAGAAAATGCGTGGATTTTATGGTTGTGGATAATGAAATCAAGTTGTGAATCATTTATTTATTATAAGCATATATGAATATGTTTGTAATAATGATGATGTGGATTTACTGTTTACGAATTGATGGAGTGTCAAGGAAAAGAAAACTCGTTTTTGGCCGACCATTGTTGGTTAGCGACTTTGGCTCAAGTAATGTAGCAAACTTTGGCTCAAGTAATGTAGCAAACTTTGGCTCAAGTAATATAGCAAGCTTTGGCTCAAGCGATTTAGCAAGCATTGGCTCAAGCGATGTAGCAAGCTTTGGCTCAAGCGATGTAGCAAGCTTTGGCTCAAGCGATGTAGCAAGCTTTGGCTCAAGCGATGTAGCATGCTTTGGCTCAAGCGATGTAGCAAGCTTTGGCTCAAGCGATGTAGCAAGCTTTGGCTCAAGCGATGTAGCAAGCTTTGGCTCAAGCGATGTAGCGAACTTTGGCTCAAGTTATGTAGCATGGTTTTCAAAAGTATAAACGATGAAAATGGTTTTAAGTATATTCGATTTTAAATTGTTTACTTAACCTTATTAAAATGTGGATTAATGTATATTAACCTTTACTGAGTTAACGACTTACTCCTTTGTGTTTTCTGTGTATGGTCAATGTTAATCTCATTGTAGGTAGGCGGAAGATGTAAGGGTGGTTTGGTTAGGAGCTTGGAGGCTTTTGTTTTTTTTTTTTGAAGTCCTCTTGTCTATTCTTTTTGTAACCTAATTGATTGTATTCTGAACTGAATATTTGTAACCATGAGTATGATTTTTGTACATGGTAGTAACCATGGATAACAGTAACTCTGGATATTTGTAGCTATGGGTGTTTTGGAAACTCATAGCTAGTTGTATGTGGTAGTTACTGAGCTGCATTAATATGAATTATGTTTTTCTGTCAAACGAATGTGTATGTCGTTATTGGTTTATGGATTGAGTGTGAAGGAGGGATTGAGATTTTAAAATAAGGTTTTTCAATTGGAAAAGGTAATTTACAGGAAAATGCATGAAACTGGATTAAAATACGGAAAAATAATTCAATGGTAGAATTTGGGTCCTTACACACACGGTATGTGTAAAATGTTCGATTGGAAAACAATATTAAATTGATTCCATTATTGGAATCACATGTAACCTTAAAATAATAAAGCAATATTAATGTTGGCCCGCAGGGCTAGCCCGGCCCGGCCCACCATGACCCGTCTAAAAAACGGGCATCCAAACCGGGTTGAATATGGGCTTTTCGACTAAAATCTCCAGTCCGGCCCGCCAAAAATGTCGATTAAAACTTACTGGCCCGTTGGGCCAAGCCCATATTGCCATCCTTAGATGTATATTGACTGTGGGGTCATTTTTTCAACCTCACATCAGTTATTAACATTTAGAAGTTGGATTGTTGATACTGATTTTGTATTCCCTGAATATATTACACAAAGTTGTTAAGAGTGAACATATATGGGGTTATTTTGTACTCACTTGGCCTAATATATTATTTATTTTGTACTCACTGATTAACTTGAGCTTATTGTTATAAAAAAAATGGGGTTATTTTTTACTCTCATGTTTGCAAAAGTATTAACACAGATGCCATATATGTGTATATATATATGTATATAATTTTTGCTTAGCTAAAAATTACTTTATGCTACTAAAATATATTCATCCAAAATACGGTACTACCCGTGCGAATGCACGGGTAACCTACTAGTTTTATAAAAAGTGATTAAACATGACACATGTCATGATTTCAGTGACCGGTGTAGATAACTTATCTCATTATACCATAAGATAATTTATTATCTATTATATATATATATATATATATTTGTGTGTGCGTATATATATATATATATATATATATATGAGTGATGTTATATTGTCCTACTAAATACTACTACTAATTCTCATACCCACAAAAAAGTGGCATATGTTACAAATTGATACTTTATTTATTAGTGATTGGTTTACAAGTGACATGTGTCATTTTCTTGTGGGTATGATGATTTAGTATGAGTATTTAGTAAGAGGATATATCATTTTCTTATATATATATATATATATATATATATATATATATATATATATATATATATATATATATATATATATATATATATATATATATATATATATACTTAAAGAATATGGAATTAAGAGTATGGAAAGTGGAAACTGAGGAAGCAAGAAGGAATCTGTTTACTCTATATGTTTGCTTTATTTCCCTAGAGAGATATGGGTTTGGCTTCTCTTATTATTATTATAGTGGTACGTTTTTTGTTGGAATGAATGAATCAAAGTAGATGAAGTAGAAAGTGAGATGGGTTTGAAACTTCTGTTGTGTGCACTGTTCTGATAATCGGACCGGACCGGACAGTCCGACCGGTTCGATCGCTGACCGGACTTGAAAACGGTTCCGTTTTGTAGTCTTAACTGAATGAGTAGTTGGACCACTTTGAACCGGAGAAATTTCGGTTCGACCGTGCTAAACTCGGTTAAACCGGAATAACCCATGAAGAAAACCGGACGGCTCATTTAAAATTTTAAAAAAATGGAAAATTACTCTAATGTTTTGTTTATTTCGGTCCAAAAATAATAGAGAGATGATACTTCAATATAGTTATATAAAATTATTAATTATATAAAATTTACACTTATATATAATTATAGATAAAAATTATTAATTATATTTAAAATCATCTGGTCCGACCGAACGGCTTAACTGGTTAAACCGGTTAGACCTAATACGGAAGTTTTTCCGGCTTGACGTCCGGCTCGGGTTTCACAACTTTGGTTGTGTGGGAATATGGATGTTATGTTGTACGAATGGTTCAGTACGGAGAGAGATTGTGACATGTGTCATTTAAATAAATTTAATGATCCAGATTTTTAATTAAAGGTTTTTTAAATATTTAAATTATTTTGGGCCTCATATTCTAGTACTGGATAGGATCTTAACCCGTTGTGTGGTGGGTGGGTTACTCAAGTAGAAATAGGATCCTCTCCATTATCATTAATGGAGAGACAAATACATATTTCCCTTTATTTTTAATGGTAAAAACTGTAATTTTATTGTAATCAAAATGATATGTGTTATTTGATGTTACATTTCTCTTTAGTTTGTAAAGTATTTACCTCTTCATTAATGGAAAGCATCATAACTCTACAATTACTAGTTATAAAAGGCTTCCATTTCAAAAAAAAACTTTTCATACATTTACTTGCTTTAAAATTATGATTTTCAACCTTTGATTTATTATCAATACGTAACTCCTAACGTTTTTTTATTTAACCTCCGAAACAGGTGTTTGATGATTTTTAAAAGGAAATTGTTAATTAATTTCTGTAATTAAAATGAAACCCGCAATTTAATCTTTAAAAATTAACCGATCATTGATTAGGATTCAAAGATAACATTGGTTCCATGAGTTTAAAAAATTCTCATTTTAATTTTTCTTTGTTTTGATACTTTAATATTTTTGTAAAGATGCCGGATAAAGTTGAGTATTCATAACTGTCACTTTTTACTTATTGCTTAATAGATAGCAAACAACATCAGACTCGGGTTCTGAAAAGATTGATTGAATGAAAGCACATAAGGCTCGATGTCATGGAAAGTAAAATTTTGAAAACGAAAATGTAGGTTGCGTAGTGCCGGAACTCGGAAATTTACATCAGGCTCAGGGTTCTAGAAAGATTGATTGATAGTACATCATGCTCAGGATCCTAGAAAGAAAAGAAAAATTGAAACGCAAACGCACATTGGGTCTTGTCAGAACTCGGAAATTTACATCAGGCTCGGAGTCTTGGAAAGATTTATTGAAAGCACATCATGCTCGAGCTCCTGAAAAGCATTCAAAAAACTATGTCCAGTCCCTTCTCCCAGAAGGAATTTTCACTATGGCATAAATACTACACATTAGAAACGCCTCTAAACAATGAAAGTGTCCACTCACTTACCAAGCCTCTCCGATCTCTTAACTCATCTAAGTATTCTTTTAAATATCAAGGCTCTCGAAGTTCTAAGTCTCAAAAGATTTATGGGATTGAAAATCACTCGAATCTAACTCACTTAAGAAAATATCTAAGACAACTGTGTTGAAATGAAAATCACATCCAATAACCATAACGTCAAATAACAGTAGCCACCTTTATTTTATCTAGTATATGTGATCTATAGTTGTCCCATTATTTGAATTTATTTCAAATAATTGTTACCCACATTTAATAAGAATGCTTGTTGTTCCGATTATTATTCCTATAATAAAAATGATATGATTTTTGGTAGGACAAACTTAGTACTCATAGAAATGTGAATTTTGAGCTTGAACCTCTTCGTAGATGAAGAATAAGAAACTACACACACAAATAAATAATAATAAATGAATCTAAACAAGGCAAGAAGACAACATCTAAACTCTAAAAGAAACTATCATATTGATATATTAGATTCAATACCATTTTCTCTGTACCACCCTTTATACCACCAACCAGAAAGTGTCATGACAATTAAATTTGTCAACTCATAATTAATTAATGCTAATGTCGTCAGTTAATTTAGTCAGCATCCTTTTCTCTATCCCTCAAAACCTAACCTTCTGTTAGATTTCTAAAACTGCCTCTTCTTTTTAATGGACCAGCATAAATCCAAGACGATTTTCTCTACTCTTTATTAAAAGGGCGCCTATAGAAAAGTGTTGCTATGAATTTTATAGTGTGATGGTAGCCTTAATGGCTTCTTCTATCACCATCACCAACAAAGATGTAGAAAAAAAAACATGGTAATATGGAAAGTCACACTTGCTCTCCAATTCTGGAACATTCTCCTCAAGACCCTTAAACTATTGTCTAATGTTCTCATCCAAATATATTGTTAACCATGATAACTCTTTACACTCTTTTATCATCTTCCCTCCAAAATCTTCTAAATTCAAAACACAATTTGAAAACTTCCTTGCAGTTAGGCAGGAAGGGATTGTGCTGAGATGAATTGAGGGTGTTATCTATGTTAAATATCAAGTGACACTTTTAATTGAGTTGTCAATCTATTATATGTGTGGCATAAAAGAATGGTATATATTCTATACTTATTTCCAAACATATTTCCTTATATAAAGTTCAGTCCCTCATAAACCTAAAAATATTATTATTCATATGTTTTCATCATTATTAAGATTCACATTTATATATTAAGCAATTTATTTAATTAAATATATTTTTTAGACACTTTAATTAAATCTATATACTTAATCAGCTCTATAAAACTTTATATTTTGTATAAACATTATATTTTTTTTAAAAATTAACTAGTATTTAATTTTAATTTAGAATGATAAATGTTATTAATATAAATAAGGGTATAATTCAAACCACCTCTTACCTGAGTTGAATATTCAAAATCAATAATGGAACATAGATTCAGATCAATTACACATCTCCAATTTTTAATAAAATTACATAAATTACCCCTCCGCTTTTTGCCCCGAAAAAAATCGGATTTGCATACATACATTACATTGATTACCCCGACGTGTAAAATAAATATGATTTTTACATTAACAGATATTATAAATGTAAGTTAAACAAATTATATATTACATAGACATGTCAAAATAGTATACAAATCAATACATTTTTATTTAAATCACTCTTATACTATATCAATAATAAAAATTTGTTGGCTCATATTCTATAAGGACATGTTTCCACAATATATATTTTGCTTAACTACATTTATCAATTTTTTAATTTAAAATGTCAAACTTATTTCTCATGTACATGTGATCTTTATAATGTATGTTTATAAATTAGGTCTTTCCCTTTAAGAGAATAAGGTATCTCCTCATACCAGGATATAATTTACTTCCTACCGCCAGTAAAAGAATGACATGTATATTATTTTGTTTAATTATTTTTGTAAAAAATAATTAAATGATACACATGTCACGATTTTAATAGTTAGAGAATATAACTTATCTCCTTATACCAGGAGATAACTTATCTCCTTATACCAGGAGATAACTTATCTCCTTATACCAGGAGATAACTTATCTCCTTATACCAGGAGATAACTTATCTCCTTATACCAGGAGATAACTTATCTCCTTATACCAGGAGATAACTTATCTCCTTATACCAGGAGATAACTTATCTCCTTATACCAGGAGATAACTTATCTCCTTATACCAGGAGTATCAATGTAATTTACTCTATAATAATTACCAGAAACCAGTAACATTTTACAAGGTTTCAACAACGGTCATGACATTAATTGAACTAAACCGTGTGTCCTTAAAAATAATATTTGGAAATTGAAACAAAATCGTTACGGTAATCAGTCCATAAGTGATCATCGATTAGCCTTGGCAACTCTCTCAATTTCATCTTTTTTCTTGATAGCATAGCTGAAATGGAGTATACATATTTTTTCAGTAAACCCCATAAATCATGCAAAATGATAACACATAAATATAGAAGATTTAATACCAAAAAAACTTGCATATCCAAGGTAAAATGTTGCTCAAGTGTGTACCTGTTGGAAGAACCTTTCGCAGGATTAATAAGTTCATCTGCCAAGCAATCAGCAATGGTCTTGATGTTTCTGAAAGTAGCTTCACGAGCTCCAGTTGTTAGAAGTTAGATCGCATGGTTAACACGTCGAAGGGGTGAAATATCCTCAGCTTGCCTCCTTACAACTCCGGTAGATCCAATTCGAGTAGCATCTTTGCGTGGACCACTACATAAATGAATGGAAAAAAGAGAATAAAAAATTAGAGTTGGAATATTAAAAGTTGAAAGTTATCCACATCTAGAGTACAAACATGGTCATCAATTGCCATAGTTCAAGAATAGTAAAAATTCATGCCCACTTGGAATTTCTATCCCAAGCATATAACAAGGACTGGTTTTGCTGAAGAATGTAGATTACCACATCTGACCATACAATTTTTTCTTTCATATTTAACAATACAGGTCGAACATAAAGATTCAGACCATTATCGGATACTGTAAAAAACATGTTTTACATAATCACATGATCTTTACTAATGAAATTAAATAAATCACAATTCTAATGTTATTTAAGAGAATGATCAGATAGAGCTAATACATAAATGCCAAAATAGAAGCAATCAAACAAATAAGGATACAATTGATCATCATTCCATAAGCAAACTCTGATTGTCCAATAAAAAAAGATAAAAGGTAACCATATCAATCAAAATCAATATCCTTCCCCAAACGTTGGTACTATAAATAAGAAGACAAAAAAGAATGACTCTGAAACACACATTCAATATGATTACCAGACCAATTCTATATATCCAGTTACATCATATGATAAAAGACAATGGCTACATTATATTATGAACATCTGGCATTCATCTATTTCTTCAAAGAAATACACTTATGACCAACAATTAGAAGAAACAAAACTTTAAGACATGGAAACAAGGAGAATGCTCAGATAGAGCTAATACAAATGCCATCATTCGGGCAATCAAACCAATAGGGAAAACCAATAATCATCATCGCACTCTCCAAATAAAGACCAAAAAAACAATTTTCCTGAAACACGAATTCATTACGACTGCCAGACAATTCCATATATCTAATACATTGTATGACAAAATACAGAGCATACCTTTTAATAAATAGATGTCCGATAAATGTTATTCAAATAGAATACAGTTTCACACCCATATCAAGTTAGAATATAAAAAATTAAAAGAAAATAAGGAAACAATGAGAATGCTCAGATAGAGCTAATACAAATGCCATCATTCAGGCAATCAAACAAATAGGGAAAACCAATAATCATCATTGCATTCTCCAAATCAAGACAATATTGTTTTCTGAAATGCAACTCATTATGATTGCAAGACCAATTCAAGATATCCAATTGGACCTTATGATAAAATGCAACTCATATATTTAATAAAGAACATCCGCATCATACATTTCTTCAAATAGCATACAGTTATCATCCAAAACTAATATCAAATTAGACGCACCAAAACATTAAAAGGCATAGGGAAACAAGGAGAATGCTCAGATAGAGCTAATACAAAACGCCATCATTCCGGCAATCAAACCAATAGGGAAAACCAATAATCGTCATTGCACTCTCCAAATAAAGACACAGAAAACAGTTTTTTCTGAAACATGTTCATTATGATTGCAGAGAATATAATTTACTTCATCAATTAATCATGCCACAAAGTAGAATGATTGGATTTTAACATTACCTTCAACACTATCAACTATGTAATTAGAAGCAACAACAAAAATACAGGGAAACAAGGAGAATGCTCAGCTAGAGCTAATACAAAATGCCATCATTCTGGCGATCATTCCAATAGGGAAAACAAATAATCATCATTGCATTCTCCAAACAAAGACCAAAATCAACATTTCTAAAATGACAAGGTAGAAATGAGTACATTTTACCATAGACTCTAACATACATTTTTTCCTCTTCGAATCAAATAGCATATGCATTTATCGACCATATCAACTATTTAAGTAGAAGCAAGACAAAAATACCAGGAAAAGGAGAATTCTCAGATAGAGCTAATACAAAATGCCATCATCCAGGCAATCAAACCAATAGGGAAAACCATTAATCATCATTGAATTCTCCAAATCAAGACAATAAAAACATTTTTCCAAAACATGCATTCATTAGGTTTGCAAGATAACTTCCATATATCCAACTTGAACCTATGATAAAATACAACGCATATAGTTTTATCATGAACAATCCATCTTGCTTATATTTCTTCAAGTAGCATACAGTTTCACCCACATCTAATATCAAATTACAAAAAATAAAATTTAAAAAAAAACATTGGGAATCAATGAGAATGTTCAGCTAGAGCTAATACAAAATGCCATCATTCAGGCGATCAAACCAATAGGGAAAACAAATGGTCATCATTGCATTCTCCAAATCAAATCAAAACAAAACTTTTCTAAAAAATGTTCGCTCTGACTGCAATGCGACAAAATAGAACAAATACAGTACACGATGAACTTGTACACACATTTTTTCTCTTCAAATCAAATACCATACATGATACATCTATAGTGGGAGTCAATGAGAATGATCAGATAGAGCTAATACAAGATGCCATCATTCAGGCGATCAAACCAATAGGGACAACAAATGGCCATCATTGCATTCTCCAAAAAAATAAAAATAAAAATAACTTTTTCTCTTCAAGTCAAATAGCACACATTTGTTGATAATATCAACAATCTAATTATACAGTGAAGAAAAGAAAACACTCATTTAGCGGTAATACAATATGGCACCATTCATGTAAACAAGCCAATAGGGAAACAAATAATCAACTTCACATTCTTCAAATAAACACAAAAACAATGACAGTTAAAACAATGATATCAAACAATTCGATCCACATACGATAAAAGCTATAAACAATATCAGCACATATAA